CTGGTGAATGACGGTAGTTTTATTTCTCCTTTTCACATCTTGCACCTTTTATTTCTTTTTCTTGTCTTAGTTATGATATCCCTTGTGATGTTGAATAGAAGTGATAGGGAACTTTCCTTTTATCCTTCCTAAAATGGAAAGGTTTCAGTGTTTCTTAAATAATTAAGTAAAAATGTTCACTACAGACCTTTTACAGATATGTTTTATCAGAATAATGAAGTTCCATTCTATTCCTAGTTTGCTGACAATTGGTTTTTTTTCACCCTTTGGACCATGAACGGAGGTTGATATTTTTTAAACTTTTTTTGTATTGATGGAAACTATTGCTCAACATTTCCTCTTTATTCTGTTGATGTGTTTAATTACATTGCTTAAGTTTTGAAAAAACATTTCGGGGGATAGTGGTAGCCGGCTGGTATGGGGATCCAAAGCTGTGACTTTGATGTTAAGGCTGTGCTCTAACAAAATGAGCTAACCAGACAGCTTCATTTCTGAAATATTAAACAATCTTGCATTCCTAGAATAAATCCAAATTGGCTATGGTATATTAACCTTCTTGAATACTGCTGGATTGAATTTATTGTTTTCTTTAGGATTTTTGCATCTATGTTCATAACTGAGACTGGTCACTAATTTTCCTTTCCCACAATAAACACAATAAACAAAATAAAGTGATTTTAGATTATAAGAATGCCATGTATTTCCACCTTATTCTCTTGGGACACTTGCTCTTGGAAGACAGCCACCATGCTGTGAGGAAGCCCAAACTAGAGAAGTCAAGAGACCATAAGAGAGGGCACATGCAGGTGTTCCAACTGACAGTCCAGCAGAGGTCCTAGCTGAAAGCTGGCCCCAAACATTGTGGAGCAGAAACAAGCCACTCCCACTGTGTCCTGCCAAATGCCTAACTCACAGAACATGTGAGCATAATAAAATGGTTAGTTCATGCCAATGAGTTTTGCAGTGTTTTTTTTTTTTTTTTAAATGCGGCAATAAATAACTTAAAAGAGGAAGGGTAAGGAGATATCTTTGGGACTGTTCAAAGCATAGTTTCATAAACAATAGGGCTCATCTTTGGGTAAATGTGAATCAAATGTAACAAAGTGACCAATCTGGCAGGCAGCTAGCTATCTATGTGGCATGGAGCTGCTCTTTTTGGGGGAAAAAAACAACTACTAATACACAAATACAGGATAGCTAACCCAAGTCATATCAATAGTAGTCAAAGAAGAAATGAGATATTTTATGAGATACCATGTATACTATTCATCAATTTCAAACAATGGTTGTAAAGAACTTCATGCCTTCTCCATGTGAACAGAACTGCTATTATTTAATCAGTCATTTATTTCACATCTAGTCATAAACAATTATTATCAAATTAACTGCATCAAAAGTGAAGAGTTCTTTCCATGTCTCTCTCCTTAAAACACACACACACACACACACACACTCTTAGAGATACTGAAATACAACCCAGTTTAAATGAAACTGCTTTAGTCAAATTTGTTTGGGTATGCTAAGAAAACGATTTGCTAAAAATATTTTTTGATACCAAAAATTTCCCTAGTTTAAAATATTTATCTTAACATACCATATTTTTATTTATTATATTTTTTTAAAGCTAGTCAAGCATGGTTGTGTATGGGAGTTAGGGGGCAATGTTAATCAGCTTAACAATAACCCACAACCCTCAGACCTACTTACACTCCATATTTTTGATACAGAAAGAATTAAGGATAAGGGCTGGCCTGTTAGTTCAGTTGGTTAGAGCACGGTGTTATAACACCAAGGTCAAGGGGTTCAGATCCCCATACCAGCCAACCACAGGGAAAAAAAAAAAAAAGAATTAAAGATAAATAGGGTAAACATTTTGATGATTTTTCCTTCCTGTGCTTTTCAATGCACATATAAAAACACAGGCTACATTATTTCAAAATGGAATTCACATGACAACATGACATATATCTTTCTTTTTGCATAATATGACATTATGAGCATTTTCCCATGTCCTTAAAATATTCTTTCAAGATTCTGAAATAGATAATATATATATAATAGATATATATAATATAACTGAATAGATAATTTTTTTTTTTGTCTTTTTTCGTGTCCGGCAACGGACCGCAACCCTCAGTGTCGCGCCCGGACCGGACCGGGACCGGCAACGGGATCGCAACCCTCGGTGCTGCTCCCGCCCCCCGCTCAGCCAGTGAGCGGGAACCGGTCTGTATGTGGGATCCGAACCCTCGGTGGGAGTGCCGCCGCGCTCCCAAGCAGCGCACTGTAGCAGTGCTCCACCGGGCCGGCCCTGAATAGATAATTTTTAATGGCTACATAAGTATATGCATTTCTTCTAATTTGTTTAATCATCCCTACCCCTACCCCCCCTTTTGGGTGGCTGGCTGGTATAGGGATCGTGACCTTGGTGTTATAATACACACTCTAACCAACAGAGTAACAGGCCAGCCTTCCTCACCCCCCATTTTTGAGCATTTAGGTCATTTAGAAATTTTGGCTACCATAAAGAACATTGTGATGAAAATCTGCATATCAATCTTTGTTAGTGAAATTATTGGGTAAAAGGAATGAGTATTTCTTGATAAAGTCTAACTGCTTTCCAGAAAGGTATGTGAAATTACATGCTACCAACAATGTACAAGAGTACCAAACTTAATAAACCCTTACCAGCATTGTTTTTTTTTTTTTAAATCTGAGTTATATACTTTACAGATACACTAAGATATCACAGACATGGGATAAAAGATGTTTTAGTAATTAATTTTTGATGTTGAATTCACACTAAAATTTAGCAAAAAGTTTAAATTTCATTCAGAAAATAAAAAGTGTAAATAAAATTATTGGCACCTTGTATACAAAAGATGACTGAGAAATATTTGTTGAAAGACTGAACTAATAAATGAATAAATGAATAAAAGAATTAAACAGCCTTAAGAGTCAGGATACTTGAATTCTAAGCTTACCTTGCCATTGTCTGTGACTCAAGGTAAATTTAAACACCTCTTCCTAACTCATTTTCCTAATATCTATTCACAAAGATGTCAGAAAAATAAATGAAAAGGAAATACAGGACGATGCTTTAGAAATACAAGTATAATCTCTGAAGTCAGACTGTCTGGGTTTAATTTGTGACTCTGTTACTTAATAGTTGTGTGACCATGGGTGATTCTGTAATTTGTTTATGTGTCAGTTTTTTCAACTGTTAAATGGGTATGACAATACTTACCTCACATAATTATGATGATTAAATGAGAAAATCTATGTTAAAGCACTTAGAATTCTGCTTAACACATAGCAAATGCTCAATAAACATTACATTATAATTATTAATATGTAAAATTTACACATAGGTAAAATGATTATTTTTTTAATCCACTTGGCAGACATCATTTAAATGTCTGGTATTATGAATTTAAAACCAATTAATAGTATATCTTTAAATTTAATTATTATACTTTTAAATCATACTATGTTTTTTAAAAATTTAAAGTTACAATTCTCACAATTTTTAAAGCCTAGAAGAAATATGAAACAAAGTTCATCACAAATATAATACCAACAAAATAGCTTTCTTTTTAAGGAGAAATCTCTTTCACTTGTTTGGAAAACTCTTTCACTTCTCATCCACCAAATCTTAGTTCAAGTATCCCCTCCTCAGATCACTCAAGTCCCCAACTACTGAAATTATCCTCTACTATATCATGTAATTCTCACACTCTATAATTACCTTGCTTATTTATTTGTAATTACTTGTCTCTTCCCACCAGAATGTAAACCCCATGAAGGAAGAAGCTTAATCTTCTCTATCACTATAAATAGACTCTGTTCAGACACCCAATAAATATCTGGGAAATGACTGAATCAGCAAATTGATGACCTAAGAGGCAGCTATGAACTGAAAAGCTGACATAAAACCTGTAAGTTCTTCCTTAGAAAGAACAGTCCTCTAAATTAGTGTTTCTCAAAATCTTTGGATCTTGACCCAGTTAAAAATACATATTTCAAGATCCAGTAAGCATACACACCCATATAACTGAAACAAAAATTTCATAAAATATACTATGCTTACTACGTGTGATGAATTTTGATATTTTCTGCTCCATTCTATTCTATTCCTTTTCATTAAAAATAAATGATTGTGGCTCACAAAACTGATTATATATCATTATTTTGTAAAGACTTGAAGTTTGAAAACTAATACTCAAGGTCAGAAGTTATTAATTAAACTGGTATCTGCAAGTCTTAACCAGAGTATGCAGATTTATGTACATGTGAGCTTGGTGGTGGGGTGGGGTTGTCACAGTTTTCAGATTCATAAAGAGGTCTGTGTCCCCCTAAATTTAAGGCCTTTTATTATTATATATTCATTTTATCTGTGAAGCACTACATAAAAATATATATAAAAATGTGGTCTAATAGAGGGATGACAGTATACAACAGGAAAGAGCACTGACTCTAAAATCTGGTAAGCCTGAGGTTTAAATCCTGAATTCAACATTTACTGACTCTGCAACCCTGTGCAAGTTGCCTTGCCTATCAGCCTTTGTTTCCTTATCTGGAAGGTACAGTAGTTTGAATATCTTCATGAAGTAAAATAAAAACTATAATTTCTAATAATATATGGTAGGTATTCAATAAATGGTAGACATCATTATTACATTCTAATATTTCTAACAAAATTGATTTCCATAGTCAAAATACAATCTTAAATAGAGTACAACTACAGTTACAAAATGTAAATTAACAAAAAACATATTATTCAAGTGTATGTGGAAATTATATTCCAGGATCTTACTTTTCCTCATAGCTAACACTGCTATGTAAGAATAATGACAACATGCTCCTGCAACTATGAATTTATCAGTTCAATAAGTGTACCAAGTACCCACAATGTACAAAGTCTACAGAAAAATAATTTAGCAAAAATACATGCAAATTACAATGAACAACTTATGGTTTTTTCAACCAATGTTCCTCACATCACTTAGCTGCCTGCTGCAGAGTGGTGGGGCTGCGTTGGTATTCTGCTTATTCCCTGCCTTTAAAGCTGCATCTCTTCTTGCTTGCTCAAGCAGAACTCTTGCTCTTTCTTTAAGTTCTTCTTGTCTGGATAACATTCGATGCTTAAAAGCAAAGATACTGAATTAGAAGCCAAAAACACACACACACACCCAAAAACATGTAATCTACATTTGTAAACTAATTAAAGGTTAGACAATCTGTTGAAATAATAGAGGCCGAGAATTAGATTGCAGCTTCATGAGGTTACCTATAGACAACATTAATGTTGACTAGAAACTGTGAGATGCATACATAAATCTTGGCATTAAAATGTATATCTTTATTGACTAAAACTGGATTAAATTTAATTGTACTTTTATTAGAACATTCTCATAAGGTATAAAGTTCATATGTACATTATATATATTCTTCATATTTGCTCATAAACACAGTATAATGAGGCAGACATTTTTAAAAGTTTAGTTTTACTTTTGTAGTCCTATAGAATTGTTAACAATGTATCTTCCAAATTTGTTTGTTGATAAATGTTAAATATCTGTGACAGTAAACCTTTAAATTCTTGACAATGTTTACAGAAAATTCAAAGCTATCATATTTATAACTTTAAAATGTAAAACTAGTTTTCTCATTGCTTACTGTCATTACAACAAAACAATTAACCTTATTAGAACTGGAAAAGTATTCTCCTGGATTAATTTGTAAGTTTACAATATATTTTTGGAGAAAAACAGATGCTGGTCATCAGTGGAAATCATTTCTTAAATGGTGGCATTAATCCAAAGCACAAATACCTTTACTCTTTAGAATCCAAATTCCTTTTTTTCTACTAAAGTAATCAACTTTGGGGGGCGGGGGCAGCTGACTGATACGGTGATCTGAACCTGCAACCTTGGTGTTTAAGGCTGTGCTCTAACCAACTGAGATAACTGGTCAGCCCTAAAATAACCAACTTCTAGCTTTAGATGGCTATTACTATTACTCTGATACTTAGTTTTACTTTCCTTTCATTGCAGTTTTGGTTCAATCATAAGCATCACTTATGGTCAAGGAAAAAAACATAAACAGTAAGCCTATTATTTGGTATTATATAAAACTTTTTTTTTAAGATTAGTACATCATTTGGGGATCTCTTTATAATCTTTATGTTTTACCATAACTATTTTTTAAACCTTTTTTCCTGCAATCTTAAACGAAGAAAGATTTTCCTCAAAGTGTATAATTTGGTAATTTTTAGTATAGTCACAAGGTCGTGAACTATCACCACTATCTAATTCCACAACATTTTCATCACCCAAGATTTTAAGAGGATTAAACAAAAATTCTTAATAGATAACAAATGAAATGTATAAGTGTTAATGATAGATTCTAATTTCATGTTGATACAATTGGTCATTACATGTCGACTGGTTACAATACCAACACTTTCTCAAAAATAGACAAAATTAATTAAATGAACACTGAATTTTCAGTCAAGACATCAGGCTGTTAATCCTTCTTCCACTAATAATAAGCAATGTAACATTCAGCAGGTCATTTAAAAAAAACTATACTGCATTCCATTGTATGATATTTAGGAATGTTGGAGTGAGACATACCTGGGTTTAAATGGCAGTTCCACCTTTTAATTGTGGGGAAATTACTCAGTCTCTCTAAGCCTCAGTTTCTCATTTATAGAATAGGGATAAAAATAGACCAACTCCCATAAGGACAGTGTAAAGATTAACAGAGTAATGTACTGAGCACTGGATAAATGTTAACTATTATTATTTTTTTAATCCCTTAATGTCCTTATCTTTGAAATGAGGGGACTTAGAATAGATCTTCTTTAAGATCCCACTAGCTCTAAATTCTGTGATTGTACAGTCCTTTAGTGATTCTAACCAGCTACATAGACAGTGAAAATACTGTGCTTTGATCTTAATAGCACATAAACATCTTTTTTTTCTGATTAGAAAAGCAATTAATATCCATAATAGAGATTTTTAGAAAATACATACAAGTAAAAGGAAGAAAAATTAAAACTATTAGCAACACTGACACCCAGAGATAATCACTGTAGAAACATGCTTTTTTTCACTTAATATTCTATTGCAAGCATATTCTCATGTCTTTATGTATTTATTTATTTATTTTGTGGGCAGCTGACCAGTAAGGTGATCCAAACCCTTGACCTTGGTGTTATCAACAACACACTCTAACCAAGTGAGCAACCAGTCAGCCCTTAAATACTTTTTAAAAAACATGATGCTTAATTGGCTATCTAATGTTCTATTATATAGGTGCACCATACTTCAGTTAACTTGTTTTATTTTATTGGACATTTAGGTTGTTTACAAATTTTTTGCTATCATAAATAATGCTTTTGTGAACAAATTTATATGTAAATTTTTGTATACAACTCTTATTATCTCCTTAGGAAAAATTCCTGAATGTAGGATTTAATGAGATAAATATGTTTAAGGGACTTGATGCACAGCGCTAAACTGCTCCTTCATAAAGCTGACTGCTTTACATCTGGGTTATAATTAATTTTTAGTGCTATTGGTCAAAAATGAAGAGATGTTGTGACCACACAATTTTGGAGCATAGACAATGTTGGTTTGAATTCAAACTTTAACATTTATTATGTGACCTTAGATAAACCCCAGATTTTCCACACATAAAATACAATTCAATCACCTACTTCATGGACTGTAAAGTTTAAGATAGATACGTATAAGGTAATATAATTGTCAACACATGTACTAGGAATTCTAATGGGCAAAATTATGACTTTGTTGAGTCTATAAAGACATATTATTATGGGCCGGCCCGGTGGCGCACTGGATAAGTGCGCCGCTTGGGAAGTGCGGCGGCGCTCCCGCCCGAGGGTTCGGATCCCACATACAGACCGGTTCCCGCTCACTGGCTGAGCGGGGCGCGGGAGCAACACCGAGGGTTGCAATCCCGCTGCCGGCCCCCGGCCCGGGACGGG